TGATTGACCTTCTGTCAGACTCTCATGTGATCTCATACACTGCATGTATAATCCAAATATTTGGAATGTACACATATATCTTCTGTGAAATGACTAATTTAACAGAAATGGCTTATGATAGGTATGTTGCAATATGTATCAATATCTATTTGTAAACAATTGGAATTTTTGGCTCTGAGTGTGAATATTGCAAAGGGTCTTTGCATAACAGTTGCTTGTTGTTATCGACCTCCTTCTGCCTCCACAGAAGCTCTGCGTTCTTTAAACCTCTTGCTGTCCAGACTAAATTATGGTGAGCTTGTTCTAGCTGGTGATTTTAATTGGGACTGGCTCAAAACTATATCAGATGATTTTAAATCTTTTTGTGATTCTATCAGTCTTACCCAGTTGGTCAATTTACCCACTCGGCCCAATCTCAAAAGCCCCGAAAAGTCTACCTTGATCGACTTGATTTTGACAAATGTTCCGCATAAATTTTCTTCTTTGGGTGTCTTTTGTAATGGTTTAAGTGACCACTGTGTTATTGCTGCTATTAGAAATACTAAAGTGGCCAAGTCAAAACATCGTATTATTTTTAAAAGAACTCTTAAACATTTTATTGAACAAGCATTTTATCATGATTTGTTAAACTATGACTGGAAGAAAATAGGATTGATCCCTGATGTAGAATTAGCGTGGTCATTCTTTAGGGATGGGTTTATGCAAATTGTGAATAAACATGCTCCATTAAGAAGATATCGGATAAAAGGTCGTGAAAACCCCTGGTTCTCCCCAGAGCTGGCAGATATCATTCGTGAGCGTAACCTGGCTTGGGCCAAAGCTAGGAAAACAGGCTATCCCAGTGATTGGCTTCTTTTCAGACAACTAAGAAACAAATGTACTTCCTCTATTAAGAATGCTAAATCAGAATATTATCTGTCTGAAACAACTGAGAACCTAAATAACCCACAGAAGTTCTGGAAAATTATTAAGTCTCTTTCAGTGAGTAAAAGCTCCCACACTCTACCCACCTATGTTTTTAAGGATTCTGTTCCTGTTTATGATAGGAGGGAGATTATGAATTGCTTTAACAAGCACTTTATATCTTCTGGCTCTTTGTTTGATTCTCTGAATCCAGTCTCTGTAAAATCGGGGTCAAACATTCCGGTGTACACTGGTCAGCCATTTAACTTTGTTCCTTTCTCTGTGCAGGAGGTCTGTATAGCTCTTAAACAGTTAGATCCTAGAAAATCTCCAGGGCCAGACTTATTAGATCCTTACTTTTTGAAACTGGCGGCTGATTTTGTGGCAGAGCCTCTCACAATACTTTTTAATCTTACACTGGGTACGAATAAAATTCCCTCAGTATGGAAATCAGCTTTTGTTGTTCCCCTATTAAAAGGGGGCGACCCGGCAGTATTAACTAATTACAGACCAATATCTAATCTATCTGTGTTGGCCAAGGTCCTTGAAGCTCTTGTGTGCGAGCAGTTAAAGGAATTTTTACACACCAATGCCATTTTATCTGAATATCAATCAGGCTTTAGGAAGAATCACAGTACTATCACAGCTGCAATTAGAGTGGTAAATGATATTACTATTGCACTTGATAAAAAACAACACTGTGCAGCCCTTTTTATTGATTTGTCAAAAGCATTTGACACTGTTGATCATTGTATTTTAAAACTTAGATTACTACAGTCAGGACTCTCTGAGAGAGCAGTGGCATGGTT